CCTGCTGCATAAGGCAGTGGGATTCAATCACATCACATGAAAACATTCAAAACAGAGGTTAGAAAAACACATTGCTCGTTCCTTGGACTACAGACCAATAGTGACTGCAAAATGGTGGAACTAGTACAAGAGGTTTGTAACAGTCTCCACGGAGCTGGGATCAAAACAGATTGGCAGATAAAAATAAGGATGAGAAAATAAGATACACCTTATTAAGGTACTGTACTCTCTGCTTTTAACGCTACCAGAATTTTTGTTGACAGCATTCAGGCTGCAATGTCACTCTGCACCAGGTACCAAATTCTTCTGTCTCATGGAAACAATTTCAGCAATGGAGAGCAGAACCCTCTCTTCTTTGCTACGTGGCGAAGTTTCTTTCTGTTTTGCCTATTAAGGGCCTGTCGCAAACCGCACAGACGTTTCAAAATGCTTCCTCAAAGGGACACGGACAAAAATCAACAGGCCTGAAAGACAACCGTCCCTTTCCCCAGCAGACGCCATGTTCTGTCCCAGTGGGAATAGCTCTTTCTGGAGCCAGTGAGGGTGCCCAGGCTCCCAAGCCTATGAGATGGCTTAGCCCAGCGTGTTCCTGCATCCTCGGTTCCTACCGTGCCTCCATTGCTGACCCAATGCTGCAAACGAGCATCCCATTATCAGGGGACTGCCCTTCTCAGGAAGTTGAAAAACTTCATTTCTCAGGAGGCAGCAGCTGCCTGGTTATGGGGGCGTGCTATTTTTAAGGTCCCATTCTCTAAAATTAGGAAGCATCAAGTTAACTCCCTCAGCTAAAGCATCTGTACCGTAACAACCTGCCAACTGCAGCTCTACCACCAAAACCACGACCAGCTTTTTCATGGGTAACTTCGAAACTGATGGGCAGATCCTCACTTTGTTTTAAACTGCAAGAGGAGCTACAACAACATACGCCAGGAGAGGAGGATGCTACTCCTGCACGGGTTTCTACGACACACAGACGCATCATCAGGCCTGGGTATTCCTCTGTGTCTGGCCACAAACGGATATGAGATCATGTCATTACAAGACAAAAACCACTGCAAAATGATTTCCTCACACAGCACCTTTACTCTGCACAGAACATCAGATACGTTAACACTGGCAGTTCAAAGATACTGGACAGTATTTTTATCCTCTAGAAGTTCAAGGCTGCAGAAGAAATCCAGACTAGCCGTTAGTTCAATCAGCACACAGGAAACAACAAGCAAGAACAGAATCTGGTGCGGGCTTGGTGGGGTTTTTGTTTTTAGGTTTGTCCTTGTTTTTGAAAGGTGTAAAGCTTTTAACTTCCACACCCACATTAACCATATTGCTCACCTAAGCAGCACAACTGTTTTACCATTTAAAACTATGTCTAATTGGGGATGGTGAGCAACACTCACTCTCACCGCTATCTGAAACCCTACTGTAGATAGGCACATCCCCCCACTCCATTATTAACTAATTTTAAAACAAACCCCAAACTTAAATGACAAATACAAAGCTTCAAAGCCTAGTGGTGATCTTTGCAATCCTAACACTATTAAACAAGTAGCCAAAATACAAGCACCCAATTTATCAATGAAATTTGATTAAAAGGACAACTAGGCTAGAGCCTGGCTTGGACTTCGAAGCTACATATTTAATCAGGTCACAAGATGAAGCGAGAACCATATATCCACTGCCAGCCTAAGAAAAATAAAACCCAAAGTTCAAGATCTGTTGGAGTATTGCTATTTCTAAGGTTTTCTTTAGAGATATTACAAACAGATGATGTGCAGGTAGCCAGATTGCATCAAATGACTGATTTTACAGTGGGTGAAGTTCCTCTGCGAGGATAACTTGCTTCAACATTAATGTCTTAATGTTAAAAATGAAAATTTTGTGTCTTAACGCTGAAAGTGAAAAGCTCTTCAGGTTTGTTTTATCCAAACATGTCAGCAAAATCCCACTTGCGGGAACACATATTTTTGTAAACTAAAAGCACACTATTCTGTTGTTTCCTTGCTTTAAGGGGGATAAAACCTGAATGCATGAACTGGATCATCAGATATTAAGTAGTGCTGGTTGACAGGGAAATGTACAACGTGTTGTGTTCAAAGGAACATCTTTTTCTCCAGTCGTTACATGCTCAACACTGAAGCACATCTCCTGGTATTGGTCGTTAAGAAAAAAAATTAACACGTCTCAATTTTCAACCTTCTCTGAAGTTGTAAAGACAACACAAAAAAGAAATCGGTTTCTACTTTTGTTAAATGCATATCCTGCATGAGGGAGACTTTTGAAATTTTTTGATGCTGTGCTATGCAATGCTTAAAAATAACTTTCTCCTACCCAGTGAAATAAACCTGGGAACTTGCGGGGAAGGGGATTAGAGTGAATAAATCCTGGCTTTGTTCTCTGGTATACCTGCAAACAAATCCACTTGCCAACTGATGTTTTAAAAGTTCATTCTCATCAAAATGTAAAATCAATATTTAAAAAAATTATTATTTTTGTAAATCCCTTAAGCTCTTCAACTGTGATGTCACACACAAAGATGTGACATGAAACTGCTATAATACACTCTCCCTTACCAGTCTGAAAGCCATTTACTGGGTCTCATTACAGAGGGACATGAACCAGAGATGCCCTCATGTACGCAATCTTCTGACTTGTCACCTCCTATCTCCCAGCAAAACCATACACCACTGTAACTGGAGAACATTTCACAAACTGCATGTACTTAATGGGAGCCTTATAAAACATTCTTTTAGAGATGCCAGCAGAGGGCATTGACCTGCTTTATGAAGTTCTTCCAAGCACAAGAGCTGGTTTTATCCTTGCGAACACTTCCTAGGGCTTCCCCCAGAAAACTCAGACACAGCAGCAAACTGATACAATTTGTTTCCACTCTAAAGTTACACTCACTCATATTATCATTTGCTCAGAGGTGTGCAAAAAAACCCCTATATTGAAGAACTGGACCTAGCCCCTTCTCAGATGAAGTTCATATTGCATTGCTAATGATTTTAGTCAAATCGACTTTGTGCAAAATATCTTTAAGAAGGTTCCGGCTCAACTTCAGAATACAAAAGGAAAATAAATAGTTGACTAGGATCTCTTGAAAACATAAAATGAATGGTGTATGCTGAAAAGAAAATTATGGGCTTAATGCAATTTATCTGCAAATAAAATAACTAGAATAGTAGTGTCTGAAATTTTAACATGTGAGATGGCTTTGATAAAGATTTCCGTTTGCACAATAATGTTCCCAAAGTCTAGATCAAAACAACATTATTTTACACATGGTAACTGCAGAGACTAGGAGCCTGAGATATGTTATTAAAAGGCAGTCCCTTGTAAACTTTCCTCAAAAGGAACAGTAGCAGTTGAGTATGCAAGAGTTACTCATACCGTATTCATCAATACACCAATGCTTTATAAAAGACATACAGCTTATTTCCAGGTTGTTAAGGATTTTATATGATACTGATTTTCTGAAACACGTATCCATCCAGTCCAAGATTGAAGTCACATCCTTCTTCACTGCTCTGTAGCTACTAGGTCTTTTGCTCTGCTGCTGTTGCTGTCTGTGAGGGAGCTTCCGGCTTCACAATCTGGTATGTAATGAGATATTCTGGGTATGCCTGAAAGTTAAGTCAAGAAAAAAACAAAACACATTGCTTTATGCAAGGGTAGGCTCAGCAAGTTCACATTTTGGATTTCACTAAACAATGAGCAGGAAAGACAGCGCAAGAATCAGCTCTTTGCAGAGTGCAAAAAAAGCAGATTTCAAACCTAGCCAGCACTAAGTGGGAACTGCTCGATGTAGTCAATACCTTCGTTAATACACTAGTGGAAAGAAAGATGTTTCTTCCATTCAGACACTGTCAGAAAACGTGTGTGCAACAGGAATTCACAATCAGAGTTACTCTCCCTGTTAGCTAATCCTACACATCAGTCAGTGCCTGTAAGTTATTCCAAAATCTCAGATGACCAGTGTAGTCTGACCCTAAAATGCTCACTGACTTGCCACGTGACCTGCAAATGCCTTTACTGGCAGTAAAATACTTGGCACACCCAAAGCACGTAACCCAGTCATATGTCCAGTGTTTTCTCAAGACAGCTGGTAGGAGGTTCAGTCCCAGAACAAAGCTAAAGTTGTTGGAGGGCAGGGCCCCATTCAGAGGAACCTAGACAGATGAGAGGAGACAGGGCCAACAGAAGCCTCATGCAATCCAGCAAGGCCAAATGCACCTGGGATGAACTAATTCCTTATAACATTGCAGGATGGGAAGCAGCTCTGCTGAAAGGTGCTGGGGGCCCTTGGGTGACAGCAAGCTAAAGCAGAATCAACAGTGTGTCCTGGGAGCAATAAAGGCTATCAGCATCCTGTGGTACATCAACAGCAGTGTAGCGATGATTGCCCTTTATTCAGTACTCACTAGACCACATCTAGACAACTGCATAGAACTTTTAGGCCCTCCAATGCAAGAAAGATGGCAACAAGCTGGAGCTAAGTTCAGTGAAGGACCAGTAAGATAGTCAGGGGGAGAGAGCACAGGGTAAACAAGACGACGCTGAGGGAGATGGGCTTGTTCAGTTCAGAAAAGGGAAGACTTTGTGGGACCTCACAGCAATCTTCCATCACGTATGGAAGGCTACTGAGAAAACAGACCCAGATTCTTTCCCGAGGTGCGCAGCAGGAGAATGAGATTAATAAAACAGAGGAGGTTCCTATTGGATACAAAGAACATATTTTTTGCTCTGAGGATAATTAAACAAAGGAACAAGCTGCTGAGAGAGGCTGTGAAACACCATTCTCCGAGGCCTTCGAGACCTGCCTGGTCAAAGAAAGCCCTCAGCAATCCGGTCTGAATTCAACATGAGCAAGAGGCTGGCCTAGGTGACCTCCCCAAGGTTCCTTCCAACCTGAATTTGTTGTATAATCTTGGAGCCATCCAGAGTAGTAAGCAAACCATTTTTCTAGAGTAAGGGTCTAGCTGAGTTATTCAAATTAAAAGTCACCTTCTGAAGATTGCTGTGCTACTTCAGCTGCCATTTAAGGGTTTATTAATAATGAGAAGGGTTTATTAATAATGGTAATTAAGGGTTTATTAATAATGAGAAACTCTGTGTTCCTACAAGCAGGGTATGGACAGGTGTCAAAGTGCAAAAAGCACATTGATTGTGCTCTCTGGCAGACAGGGACACTGTCACTGCTGGGAATCTACAGGTAAAAAGCCCAGAATTCTCGTTATCTACAAGAGCCCCAGAAATGCACGTGTTCTTGTTACTGCAGTAATGCCAGTAAAATGCAATGGGGGAACCAGTGCCTCCTGAGAGAAACTACAACCCTTAACAGGCTCTAGCAGTGCTGCACAGGGGGAATTAGGCAATTCTGCATGGTGTAAATCAGGGCAGCTCAGTGGAAAGGAGTAGCATTTGCTGGCTTGATACAGTTCACCGTTTATTTCCACATTAAATGAAAAAAAAAAATCTCATCAACCAGGTTATCACAGTACACCTGGTATGGAAACCAGTCACATCCCCTCTCCAGCTCCAAGCTCTGCCCTTCCATAAACCCAGTCCTTGCTAACCCACATACCTGTTCTCCTCTATAGATAACATATTCAGCATATGCAAGTCCATTGACGCTTGGCCGGCCAATAACAGAATGGTGCCCTGGAGGGGCATGAGCCATTTTCATTGTGCTGAACTGAAGAAAGGATTTTCCAAGGGTCACTCTACAGAAGAGCATTTGTCTAAAAGGAAAAAAGAAAACATAATTTTAAAATATCTTACCAGGAGTTGTATTCTTCCAGGATGATTTGAGACTTTTGAGTTTATTTTGTTGCTAGTAATTTCTCAAGGCTTTTTGAAGAAACACTTTTAGAAACCCATTCTAAGGCTGTATAAGACCTGTCACAAAAAAATCTTTCTTGACATGCAGAAGGGAAAACACACACTTTGTTTAGCCCTCACACGGAGGCCTGTTCTAGTTCATTTTATATACAGCCGTTGAAAGAAGCTGAAACTCTGTGTTCCTACAAGCAGGGTATGGACAGGTGTCAAAGTGCAAAAAGCACATTGATCTACTCCAGCACAAAACAAAGCTATGATTAAGTCCTGTTCACTACCTCCAAAATTATTGAATCCATAGTACAACACTGTACTGCTGACCACCGCTTTGCACTGCAGTTTTGTTCTGAGAGTGCCTGGAGTTTAATTGCTATTTTCCTCTGACTTTTCATTTTCAAATTTGCTGTTTCAAGCCTCTTTCCTGAGCCACAATTCACTTTGATTTATACTCACTGTATGCTTAGATGTAATTTTTGACCTTTCTGTGGGACTCGCCATTTATATCCTTTTTCGTTCAGCCTTGACAAATGGAAAACTGCATTTTTCCTGCCATGACCAAGCTCAAGTGGCTATTCTTTCCCTGCAATTCATCCTGTGCCAGGATAGTAAAAACCAGGACAGCCAGAATTACGTATAGGGAACTCTGCTGGACTCATACCTGTGGCAGATATAACAGGACCTGTCTTTGTGTGTGGGACAGCCTGTTCCTCCCCCTATCCCATACACATATTGGTTGCTTTTTGAGGAGTTCTCGGCAAAGTAAATTCCAGCTCCAAACATTCCTCCAATGTATGCATGCCTTTCATCAAATCCTTTGTGAATGATAGCATTGATAAAAGGAGACCCTAGAACAGAATGACATGAAACGATGTGTTATCATACATACTTATTAAGCTCTATAGTAACACAGGACTCTGTCAAGAGGAGCTTGTCTGCCTCAAATAGACCATTAAATACCAGAAAGTGTGCTCTGTCAGCTGGAAGGGGGCGATACCCAGCAGGATAGAGTGATGTGTGGGATTTATCGTTATATACCAAGATCCCACGTGTGACTCATATTTCTTACTCATTTCACAGATCTCATTAAATGGCTTTCCCCCCACTCACATTTCAGCGCAATTTATCTTGTCAATGCACACCTTCTCCAGCAGTCAGTACTGGTTAAGATGGGGCAAGATGTCAGGACGATCATACCCAAAACCAATTTCCTACACAGAATCATAGAAGGATCTAGGGCAGGAGAACCCTCAGGCAACTGTCATTTGTAGGCACTTCTGCATGCTTCTAGAGAACATCTTGCTGAAACTCACGGTTGGTTTTGATTCCTTTCCCTGATCATTGCCTGAAGTGCCAGGGTAAAACGCTTTTAGTGTGTGCTGCTCCCCTCTTTTAGAAGACACCCTGTCTTTCTCACAGCAATGTAACATCCTCCCAGCAGCTTTACTGGAAACGACTAAGATATGGCTTAGCAAAAAACTTTTTTTTTCTTTTTTTTTTTTAATGTATTTTTTATCTAGTGTAGCTTTTCAGATTGCAGTAACCACGCAGACTAACTCCACCACCCGCACACCCCTGCATTTCTAGTGTAGAAATACAATTACTGTACATGGTGACACAGCAACATTAACATTGCCTGTGGGTCCTTGTAAACTTTTTTTTTTAAAATACCAGTACATATAAATAGAGATCACTTCCTTACCATGAAACAACATGCGTTCATTGTGATGATTATGATTCTCCTCTGAGACCTCCTTCTGTCTGTGACAGAATCTCTCCCGCAACTTCTTGTTCACAACCTTTTGAATCTGCAGTGGTACAACAGGTCCAACCATACTTGAATTGGAATTGAAATGGAATACAGTTTCACAGAGTTTGCATAAATTCAACAGGGAAACGAAGAGTAAGACACATGAATGGTATAAAGAAACCCCACGGCTGTTCTGCACGCAAGGCTGAAGTCTTTCAAACAAGTCAGTAGCACACGCTTACAGATGGTTAAAACTACTGTGAAATTGCAGCCTAAGTTCTCAGGTTTAAGGAAGACTTTCAGGTGTCTTCCCTCAGAGCTTGAAATGCCACCAAGAACTACAAACTGTCTGAAACTCCCTCCCTCTCTGCTTTGACCTCTGTTGAACAATCTGGGCTAGCTTTTTGAAGCTTGCTGTCTGGTTTAGGTGGAATTTTTATGAAAAGAAAAACTTCTGAGGAAAGAAATTAGGAGATGTGCTGTTTAATCTATCTTGAGATATCGTTCCAGCAACATGCTCTAATACCACTGTGGTTTCTGTAAAGGACTTCACCTTTGGTTGGGAGTAGGATGGAAGCAGAGTTTACTTCAGGACGTATGATCTACTGGGCCAAGTTGCAAAGTCTCCGCACTGGCTCACTTTTCAAACAGCAGGGGTTTGCTGGAGCTCAGAAACTGAGTTCTGTCTGTTCTGATTTACTTTATTTCCTCCTCCCCCAAAAAAAGGAACCAGAAAGTTCCTTTCCCTCAGAAAGACAACACTCCATTTTCTGACGTGCCAGGGCTTGTAAAAAGTATTTTTCTAGTTGGCAGGGGCAAGAAGGTGTCAAGATCCAAAGCAGCATAGGGAGATAGAAACTTTTAATAAAAAGTCATGCTCATCCTTTCCCCCTCCCCAAAAATCTCCTTTAAAAAGGCAAGAAAAGACTACACTGAGAAAAAAATCTGTGCTGCAAAGTCAAATACAGAAGTTATAGATCTCTGAAATTAAATCAGGCTGTGAAACACAAGTCAGGCTCTTCACCACTTCTGTCTTCAATATCAGTTCTTCAGACTCCTTTAAGAGCACAAGTGGATACTTCTCCCTCATTCCATGTGCAGAGCACACCGTCAGTCTAATTTTAGCATTTAGCACTTGCTTTAACTCTGCTCCTGAATATTATTTCAACAAAGAACTTTAAATATAAAAGGGTGATCCATTAAACCAATTCTGCCTGCTTGCATAAGTACCAGCTTATTTTACCACATAGAATTAAGAGGTTTTGAAACTTACCCTGATGACATTGTACCTGTTGAAGATTCCACCAGCATTTCCACCATCCCGATGCTCCCGGATTGTACTTTGCATCTACATAAATGAACACAACCAAACGTTCAGCACACATAGCTTTCTAGCAAGGCAAAATATTCATGCAATATCTCAGCATATCACTGGCAACAACAGACAATCTTGATTGAAAATCAATTAAAAGGTGTAAAAAAAATAATCCAAAACCACAACTCAATTTTAAAAACTGAGGTACACCCTTATTTCTCAGGCACCCAACACACTATGCTGTTCCACAATACAGAAGTTGGATAATGCAATTATCCAATCTTGTAATAAAAATCTACATAGGAAAAAGGAGAATAGTGGTACTTACTATCAAAATTATACCTAACTAGAAAACCTACTTTAGATTAGAAAAAAAAACAATCTTTGAAAATGAATATACAAAAAGATCACTTTTCAAGTAACAACAAATGTGTTTCTAATGAGTCCAGTTTGTATTTCTTAGTGATAGGAAAATGCTTGCACTGTAGATTTTCCTATGCCATTAGCAGCCCCTGAGAATTTCAACAGTTTTTGTGTCTTTTCCAGAGGTATTTATAGCTACAGCAACAACATTTAATAACAACTCAAATAGATATCCCAATTTACTACAGCAGACAAGCGACCCTTTCTGTCAGAAAAGTTTATACAAAAGATCTGTAAACTGGAATTTGTGCAGAGTTACTAATTAAAAATATTCCAGACTAAGCTGGCAGCAATCCTGAATATCTAGACTTTTAAAAAGGCTCCAAACACTTTTGTGCTACAGTATAGGAACACTACACAAATAGCAAATGCACAGTAAAACAGAGTTTCTTCCAAACACAGCTCTTCAGAAAGTCTCTTTTCTATTACGATTTTTTGTTCAAAATGGTATCTGCTTGTAGTTTACTGAAATAAAAGAGCATGTGTGTGTGGGAGGCAAAATTACAGTCAACTCTCAATTATCCAAGAGCTGTTTATCTGGGTTACAGATTAACTAAGCCATTGAGACAAGAGAAAACAAGCTGGTTCACACGCAGAAACAGCCTGAGCACAGAGAATGCCTACAGGCTTGCAAGGCCTTGATCCCTTGGTCTTCACTCATGGCCTTTGATTTTCACAGGTCCACCTATCTCCGGAAAGCTGTGGAAACCCTTGCTATGAGATGACATCCGAAACACAACAAAAAGGCAAAACTGGGATAACACTAAGTGAGCAAACAGACCACTTATTAAAAAAAATTGGCAGGACACAGCAAAATAATTTCCATCGTTACTCTATATAAAAAGACAAATGAAGAGCCCTAAACTTCATGTCAGGTCTATGCAATTCATACACCAAAGCATATTTTATCACTTTCAACATGTGTTGCATGCTTTAGCTCAGAGGGGTTATAAGTGAAAAGAGAAATACACTGCCACTGGAGCATTAAGAAAGGTACTTGCAATACCTCCTCTTCTACGGACTGATACTCCTTATCGTCAGGAGCAAGGTCAAGGAGAATGGTCCCCTGACTCACGCAGTGGAAAGTCAAATAAGGATTGGTGCCTGCAAAGAGAAGGAATAAAAATCAACAGGAGAAAACAATACCAGCTCTATTTGTATCCAGCATCACCATTATTCTTCTTAAATAATCCCAGTACAGCAGGAAATGCAAAATAAACACAAGGCAGAAGCACAACCTTGAAAAGATAAAGTGCTTTCGTTAGCAGCAGAGGCTTTAAAAAGAGAAGGAAAATGCATGTGGGACATAATTGCGTTTTATTGTTTCCGCTTTCAAGAGAAGCATCTGAGAAGTGTGGGGCAGCAAAAAACTCCATCAGGTCCACACTTCAGGACACAACTGGCCTGTGGATAAGTACATAGGGAAAATCAATCCAAAAGCTCCTGCTTGGGTGAAAGACAGTCCCTGGAAATGGGCACAGCCTCCACAGCTGCCTCAGGGGTGTTCATTCTCTGGAAAGGCAAGTGATCACTCGGTCCTGTATCTCCTCAGTATGTTCTTTATCTGTCACAACCCACCTAGCCACCAGGTCTGCCAGCAAGTACATTTTCCCGACATCCGGATTCTTTCAAGTCCTGGTGACAATGCCTACATTTACAGAAGGTGACTTCTGGGAGCCTGTTGTATGCTACACTTAGACTTACCAGTAAAAGTGTCATATTTACCTTGCTGCCCTCCTAGAAGTCTCTCCACACCTTTTATTAATTTGTGGCGGTGTCCATATGCGTTGATCCCAATTTCTTTAAGCTCCTCATGCCCCATGTCTGCCAATACATCCAGGGTTATCTGGAAAGGTGAAAGACCACAAAAATCACTTGCCAAACCTGGCCCGATTCCCAAGGCTGAAGACCCATCAGTTCAGAAAATAGAACGTATTCATGCTGCAACCAAGAGAGTATATATACACTTATATATTTTATGTTTTGCTGCACTTCTAATTGCTGCCACCTTCTGGCAAGCCTCTCCCTATCACAGGACCATAGCCAGCTGCTACAGCCTGAAGCTGTGCAAAACCTACTTCTCTTACAGCAATTAACAAGAGCTGGTTCTCACAGGAGGTTCTCAAAAACATTTTTGCCTATGTAGAAGGAGGATGCGTGGAAATGCTGGGACAAATCTGGGAATATTTTTGAAGCATTCAAGGTTTCACATTCGTGTGCAATTTATTATTTTCACTACACGAACAGAAATGAATATTCTATAAGCTTACTAATAAGTGTTAAGCATGTTTCACATCAACATTACTATGGTGTGTGCTATTACTGTGTGTATATATCCAGGTGTGCACTTGCATGTGTATCAAACCAGTGGGTCAGTTATGCTAAGTCATGCTCAACTATTCCACTATTTTTGGAAATAACTAACCTTGTGAGCACACATACAACTATTCATTTGGTTGCAATATACGAATACATCTACAATCGCCTGACAAGGTTTTAAATTTCAAGGTCACGGAGATTATTGGTGGAACCAGAAACGTAATAAAACATGATGTCAAATGAACTTTTCTTTTTTTAAAGAGCAGGAGATAAAGGCTAAATAAAGTACACATTTTTATTACTATAAAGCAATTGTGCACTGAGGTGATTCTGTGAAAAACAAAGATTTCATCTGGAGGAGATAATTACATAAAATCTAATTCCAAATTTACACATTAAACTAGAATGGAAAGCTCAGCAAATAATGGGAAACCATACAACTTGATTCAAAAGAAGCTGGATTGTTAGCACAACTGGACTTGCAGGTGTGGAACTCTGTCCACTAGAAATTGAATATCATTAATCCAAAAGAAAGCAACTCAAGCAAGGAATTAATAGCTACACTGAACATCCGTCCAACTGAGCAGAAAACAACCCTACTGAGATTGCTATGGAAAAGCCACTGAAGACATTAATCATGTGCAGGGAATATTAAAAAAATACAGAAGAAACCCAGATATTAGAAAGCATCAGCATAGATCCAGTATGAATAGGAGGCTAGAGCCAAGGTGAAAAAGTGCACATGAAGGTACTGCAGTGCTTGGAAAAACAAGCCCCAAAACAATAAGCTTAAGGAAGATGAGCTTGTTTTCACTAGAAAGAAACTTACAAGAGGAGCTAAACAGTTTCAAAACAATGAATGAATATACTGAATCCAATTTGCATTATTAAATCTTATTAGCAGGGGCAGCTCTTAAAAACAGGTTAGGAGTTAAGGAAGCTAAAGTAGAACAAAACCAGGACTGCAACAGGAAGGTGTGAAAAATAAGAAAAAAAGAAATGTGAGTAGAACATAGGTTTGTTTGGCATTGGTTTGCTTCTTAATAGAAGCAGTTCCAAATTAAAGAAAAGAGTTTATGCTTTATATATAAAAAGGGAAAAAAAATTATATGGCATTTTAACTTTGGGGAGATACCTCCTTAATGTTTCATGGAAACAGTTGTAATGTGTTGCTTACAGAAGAAATTCCATTTCAAACATTTGTTTCCTGACCCCTCATAAAACATTAGCAGCAGAGGCCTGGGAAAAAAAAAAACAACCACCAAATCCAGTCTTTTGCACTTGTACCTTTCACTTCCACCGCTGTGTCCCTCTTGCTCGTGTAAACAAATAATCTATTTAACTGTAACATGTTAAATTTAAGAAATGGTACATAAAAATAGCCTACAAATACAAGAGGTACTTTTGCTCTAAAAAGTAAGGTAAGCTTGAGAAACTGTCACGTTAGTTGTATTCTTTTTATATATTGTGAATTATTGATAAATCTGCAGGTTTTTTTCCCCCCATCTCTCAATTCCATTTCAAACTTTTTAGCCTTGCAAAACCCAGTTAATGCTATAGTCCTAACCTATTAGAAAATGATGTTTCTGCATTCTCTAGTGTGGTAAAGCCCTGGTAAACTAGATTTTTATTGCAGCTTATGATCAGACTGGAGGGTTTCCTAGATGTAACCAAAGTGTCACATGCAGCACTACAGGTGGTGAAAGGCTCATTTGGATATCAAGACTGCTGAAGGACAACTGCAGGTGACATTCCAACCTAACTTTGTTGTAGCCATCATGTTCCAAGTTCACAAGGTCCAATGTAACTATCAGAATACAAGCCAAACTGACAGTCATCATGTACGTACAAGAAAGTGAAAAACGCTGGATATCTGAATCAAACAACAAAAGATTTTCACAGGTTTCCCAACTTCACCATAAAGTATTTGGTGACCCATTTGCAGTTTTCTTGGATATACTTGTTTTTCTGTAGATGTGAAGCTGGGGTTTTTTGTTTCCCTTCTTCAATTGGGGAATGAAAACATCGCCCAAATTTATTAGATTAGTCTATCTTTTAAACATACGAACAGAGAGACGAGGCTTGCCACTTACCTGTTCTGTCTCAAAGATGTCCCGAAGGTGTTCAAGACCCAGGCTTTTTAGGAACTGGGTAATGTTCATGTCAAGACCAGAAACTGTAAGAGAAGAAACAAGTCATTATATCCTATGCACCTAAATTTAAAATAATAATCATCATCATCAATACCACTGATTCTCTCAAAATTCCAAACTCTGATTCTTTTTACAATCATTTTGTCTATGCCTATAATAAACAATCCACTTCCACTGTGTGTAAGCTCAGTGCGAAGCTCATCACTGTTCCCCCCTCAGAATCAACTATTAAAAAGCGCAAGTGATCTGTGGCAAATACAGGCTCATATTGCAAAGAGAAGGAAAGGAAAGGGGGTGTGTCTTTTTGCTATGTAATCACCTAGATGCTGACATAAAGCATGCATTCCAGATACTAATCAAAGGCTTTAAAAAGTCTTAGCAAAATCCCCCAGACTTCACAATCACCATTCCTTCATCAAAATAATTCCCATTGGATTTTCCGTATAAAATCAACAACGAACATCTGGGCACCTAATCAGATCTGCCTCTGTAGTCAGACCTAATCACCAATGGCAAACATAGATGAACAGCCAACAGTGCTCCTGGCAGAGCACATGAAAACAGGGCAAGCATCAGACACTTTACAACGCAGATAATAGTTCAAGCTGTATAGTATTTTCTGGCTAGTCAGAAAATGCTTTTCAGATAAAGCTAGGCCTATTGTGATACTAAGCTACTGTACTTCCGGCAACGTAAACTTGTCCAGCCGCAAATGCACCTTCTCCTTCCTTCCTCTCAGTTCCTGCTGCTCCATCACCAGCATTTGATGCCCCTCCTACGGCTAGTTCTGCCAGTGGCCCAGTGAGGTTATCTATACTGCTGGCAGCGGAGAGGCAGGACGGCGTAGATGCTGGTGAGATCAGGGAGGCACTAACAACAGTAGCTTGAGGCTTAAAGCATGTAGGCAAAGCTTCTGGAGGCATCGCATCTATCAGCAAAGCTCGGATATCATCAGCCTGAAAAAACAGAAAGAACATTCAACATGAGGTTCTATTATCACAAGTCACTGATCTCTGGAAAGAATTTTTCTTTGAAATTGTTTTAAATGATTGCTCCATTCCCCCATTAAAAAGAAAACTGCCAACTTTTGTAACATGGGAATTCATGGTTGCAAGAACATTCTGATTCACTGCTCAGACATAGGTGAATCGGGTTCTCCCCATTTCTAAAGGTACGTAAGAAGGTACATCTAATTTCCTTTCTGGCAGAATGACTTTATAGGTGTTAAAAGCCAGGAGGAGCAGTGCAGCAACTTTATCTGAAATCCTTCACAACCTAGGCCAGCCAATGCCGTCTCAATTTCTCTGTCAGGCTCAACTTCTGGTCAAGCATTTTGAACTGGATCAAGGTTCCAATGGAAAGACTCTACCACTGCCTTTGCTATAATCACATCTTATAGTGTTAAAATAGAAGAAAAGACAGGAGCTGCAGGAGAAACGTGAAATTAGCTAACAACTGGATTTAGCTTTTGCTGACTAAATAAAGCAGGACCCGCATCTTCAAGAATTTCCTCCTTGCATGTTCTCGTAGAACATGATTGACACATCCTTATTTTCCCCCCAGAGAAATAAAATAGTTTTCACATCTCTTATCACAAAGCAAGTTTTCTAGAGCTCAGATTATTCTAGAGGATATTTCTTGATCTCTCCACAAATCAATCAGTGGTCTTAGATACTCACACCATAACCAGACACAGCATCCTATTTGGTTGCATTATCTATTCCATCAAGACTGGTTAACTTGGGACATACATGGTCATGTAATCTTACTAGGCTTTTTAACCAGCCGCCACTGCCACCACAAACAAGGAAGTTTCAGGTGCTAGTTTCAGAAAAAGTTTGATAGCCACCTGCAAATCTTAGAATGTTGTTTTGGAGTTAGTCAAAAAAAGAACTGAGGTAATATGCAGGCACTGAGCAAAATCATTCTCTAAATGATCCCATTCCTCTAAAGGCCCATCTGATTTTCCTCCTAGGTTCAAAGAAGTAATCACCAACAGTACACAGATTGACCATCATCGGGGACATTTCAGATAGGTTTATTGCTGGCAATGAGAAGATTGATCCCAGAAGTGAACCCTTAAGCAGAAGCAAACCCTAAATCACAAGCCACATTAAGATCTCAGCCAAAGGAAAAAGCCTGGACCTATGGGTAAAAAGTCACAAACAGGCACCCTGGAGATGCTCATCTCCCTCTACCTCAGCACAGCAAAAGCCAAGGACCGCTGATGCCATGGAGCCATAGAAAGCCATTTAATATGCAGAACAAATCCTCCAGAGCAGTCTGTAGCTGGCACGCCAATATGAACTTACTGTTGCCAGGTCTAGTGGCGTCTGACCCTCTTGATTCTTCATGGTTGGATCTGCTCCATGAGCTAACAGCAGAGCACAGAGCTGTGTCCTTCCTTTTTGTGCAGCTTCATGCAATGGTGTGAATGCCCATTTATCTGTTGCATTTACGCATGTATTGTATTTGATCAACAGTGCTGCTATATCTACATGCTGGAAAAGACAAGAACATCTTAATCAACCTGACACTGGTAAAACACGTATTTCCTTTTTCGTGCTGGAGGTAGTGGTGCTTAGAGACCCCTGTAATTTCTCTTTCCTTTCTTTAACTCACTTCTCTTGCCTCCTGTGTCTATGTAGCAGCGCACCTCTTCAGGTACCACTCTATACTGCTGCTCCACAGTCATTAAATCTGTATCTGTGCACTACCAGATCATCCACCAGCACATGTATAATTGGGATCAGGCACAGAATTATATTTCTGCCAAATCACCCAAAGTACACAGCATGAAGTTTGTGCCAGCTGCAGGAGCAGACAAGATACTTGATCCAGCATAAAACTGGTACGAGTTAACTGTCAAAGTATTTGTAGACAAATTCCAGCTGGCAACACAAATTTACAGGGCTGCAACATTTGTGAAACAATACTAGAAGCTCTAAAGATCAATGTGTTATACTGCTGAGCCACCACTTAAATGTCTGTACACAGAAGTCTTAGTTGTACTTTATTTCTTTCTTGTGGTTTCTTGCAATACTTTGAACCCATCCACGGCAGCACAAATTTGTTCCTTCTCCAATCATATTTTATGAGACAATTGCAACTGATAAAACACATTATGAGTGTCATAAGGGACAACTGCTTTACATGGGCTATAAAAGTAATGATCTTACAACTCCATGCTTCCATCAATATCCCATCCTTGAAGTCTCCCAAGTTAAAATAAGAATAGAAAACTGGCAAATAAAATTTTTGGCTGGCTCTGATCAGTAAAGTTACTTGTGTGATACAGCTAAGAAATAAAGCAGGTAGTCAAAATGAGTAGGTAGGAGCGTGAAACACTGAATTGTAAGCAGAAGTGCAAAGACTTGCCAATGTATTTTATTTTTCCTCTTAATGGCAATTAAGTGACTCTCCGCAGCTCTCGTAAAAGGGCTTGCTCTCTGAATAAGCGTGGTTTGAAGAGACTGCTGACCTTATTTTTCCTCTCTTCCAAACTCTTAAAGCAGTTGCTGTTCCTGTGACTTCTGCCACATGAAACCCTACTGAGGGACACGCAGCATGAAGTGCTGGGTGGGAGAACTAAAGATAAATACTCTGTGAAGAAAGGGTTGAGTCTGTGAAACCTGCCAGCTATGAACTTGTGAAACTAGTACTTATCTCCTCCCTACCTCCCAACACAGAGATCTGAATGGGCTGATGACAGCTCAGAGAAAAGTGTGGGGCACCACGGGAAAGGTATACAGCAACCCTTAACTAAATAGGCTGGTGGAAAAGCACCAAACACTGCCTCATTAACTTTTCCTAGAGAAAGTAAGGCAACCAGGTTAGGTTGACATTACGATTTTGATAAGTGATAATCAGTTTGAACCAATCTCTAACATTTCCCAGTGCCAGTAAGGAATGTTTTGCCTTTGCATAAAATGTGTGTTTTGGCTTCCCATGCTTGAAAAGACACACAATCTTTGCAACGGAGTATATCTCTAGATCTAAGCAACGTCCTGCGAATTTAATGCTTATGGCAGATGCTGATGAACAATATTGCTTGGTATTAGGACCCAGTATCATAAAAGAATTCTGTGTTGCATTTCTAAACCTTCAGCA